CTGATAAAATTATATACAAAATCTATTCTTGGGTCCATAATTTATAAATTTGGGGTCATCCCACAAAAGAACTCCCATTCTTAGTCAATTCAATCTTGCTTCATTTAATATAAAGATTTCTGTAATTTTGCTGCCCTTTTTAATTTGCAGTGCAGATTGAGTTGAACTCTAGAGGTATATTTAGTATACCTATGGGAGTCAGAAATCTTTGTGCTTTATTGCAAGTTACCCATAAATGATGTAGAAGTTATTTCTAAAACAAAATGTACTTTATTTTTAAAATTCTAATAGTATCCCATTATTTCATGTTTCTGGTTGAACGGGACGCTCCAGGTAGTGTACTGTTAAAGTGCTGGAGTGTACATTTCCAGCACTTTAACAGTACACAACTTTAAGAAGTTTATAGGATGATTTTGGGTCTGTTATTTTGGCTAAGGCTGTTTTATGGGAAAATTCAGAGAACAGGGAACATTATCTTTTGCTTCTGGATCGCCATTTTCTTTCCTAAATTCTGGAAAGACCACACGTTTTAGAATGGCAGACTAAAGATAAAGTCACCTTCAAGTCAAGCTTAGGTTCTGGTCTCCTCAGCCACCTATGTAGCTTTGCGGGCAACAGAACTGAAATAATTTGCCATTACTTTTTTCCAGGATGATTTTTAAGCTATCTAATTTAGTCTACAGTGCAGCTATTTCTTAGGAATCACTTATCCAAACAATGCTCACTTTTTGTTCTATTTTTAGATTAGCCAAAATAAGATAAGCCCTACCACTTAGACGGCCATTTCATTAAACCAAGAAGCCTAAAACATAAAACCTCCTCTTCTTTTGTTAGTTCATTTTAAAAACTTTGATTTTATCACCCTGGAGTATGAAGAGTTCATCTGAACATAATATAATTATGTAAGCCTTTCAGGGTAGTTACTTAAGAAATACAAAATATATTTCACACAGCAGGACTACAGCGATTTATTTGTTAATGTTGCTAAATCTGCCTCATAAGTCTGTCTAATTCACTAGCTATCTTCCAGTCTAAGTAAGTTTTTTCCCCCTTAATTCTCCAGAGATTACTAAGGAACGGTGCAGAGACAGTAAGTAATGCTGTCCTTGGTGTGTTAGATTAGAGTTACTTAGTTTTGGTCATACTTGCAGGCTATCTTGTTAATTATTATTGCTACTGTGTTATTGTCACATAGTCAGCCAGAAATTTAGATTGGATTTGGCATTTTAACCAAAGAGCTGGGATAGGCAGATGCTGATCTTTGATGGTGCTAAACGTACCATTGTACAATGTAAGCTGTTTCAACTAAAGCTGGGGATTTTGTCAGTACCAATGATGTTCAAGTGGTGCTCCAGTTGTTTTGGGATTACACCCAAGGTGCCTATTACTACTTTTGCTTTGTTTTGCCACAGTTGTTCTCTTTCTATTTGGAGGTCTTTGTATTTTGTTTGCTTCTCCAATTTTTTTCTCTCTTATTTTGATATGACCACTATGCAGACTTTTTTTGTTTTCCTAATCAACAATGTTACTTGGCAGGTGCCTGTCTACTTGAATTCTAAAATCCCAGCACACTTTAGCATCTTCATTTTCTAATTAATTCATCTATTTTATGGTCCCACCAGTTCTTGCTCTCAGACAAATGGAATTTCTTACAGATCTTCCAATGCACCATTGTTACTACAGTGTCATGCCATTTTTGTAGTCAGGCTGTGAGAGCTTCTTCCAGCAGCTAAATAGATGGTCCACTTTTTTCTTCAGCTTCTTTCCAGAGATGGCATTTGCTTTCTGTTGCTGTCTTCTTAATTCTGGATTTGTATGCATTTGTTCTTAAGACTTGGTCTTATGTAGCCAGAAGCAACCACTCTGTCTCTTTCTCCAATTTTCCTGCTTTTAGCCATTGCCAGGTCTTTTTATTATTTGCTTTGCAAGCTATTTTTTATAATGTACTGGCCATGTAATACTTTGTCTTCTTTTGTCTGTTTTCTGGTCTTCATTTGGACTTTCTTGCAGGCCAGTTTGGTCTCTTCAGTACTCAGTAATTGGTAGATAGATTGGCAGAAATTTTTTTGATTGGATTGAATTTGGAGAGTCTGCCTATAATTTGCAATTTGGCTATAGCTTTATTATTTTCTGCTTTATTATTTCTAGTGCTTTCTTGATAATCCTTATTTCTAGATGGTATATCTTGATTAGGTATTCTTTGGTCTTCTGGTTCTTCTTTTCTTTTCTTTTATCTGTTCTAGCCTTTATGTTAGAACAACAAACAGTTACATAGATAGCAAATGTAATCAGGCCTTCAATCCATTGAGTAAATTGGATAATATTCCACTGATCTCCTACCCTGTGCTTATAAAATTTATTGATAATAAATATCTTTGGAACTACTAGTAGGTCTTTTTTTAAAAAAAAAAACATTTAAAAAAGATGTTCGCCTTTACCCTCATTTGTTCTAGTATTTGTCTCAGAAACTGATAGTGTTTCTGATCCAAACAATGTTGTTAACAGATGTTGCAACTGTAAATATTGTCATTTATATCTGATGGATACTATTAATCTATCAGCATAGCGCTTATTAAAAATGAAAGAAAAAGTGAGAACAATCAACCAATAAAACAGCTTACCTTCAGAAGTTGTGGGAGCTTCATCACTGGAATCTTTCAAAAAGAGACTGGACTGCCATCTATCAGAAATGGTGTAGAGACTTCTGCTTGGGGGTGGGGGGTGGACTAGATGACCTATAAGGTCCCTTCCAACTCTGTTATTCTGTTAAATTGATTTTATGTAGCATAAAATCTGTCACAAATATACATTGTCACAAGAGTCTTCAATTATTTAAAGGTCAACCTATCTCAAAACAAACCTGCTATTCAAGGCAACAAGAAAAATCCTTGAAACAGTCATTCTCAACCTGTTGTCCACAGATTCCTAGGGAACTGTGATGTCATCACAGGGAGTGGGGAGCTTTCTATCAGGTTCGCCTGACATGCCAGTTGCGCCCCTTTCTGGATCGGGACTCCTTACGCATGGTCACTCATGCCCTCGTCACTTCCCGCCTGGACTACTGCAATGCTCTCTACATGAGGCTCCCCCTGAGGAGCACCTGGATGCTCCAGCTGGTGCAGAATGCAGCCGCACGGGTACTTATGGGGGCGACATGGCGCTCCCACGTAACACCTCTCCTGCGTGAGCTGCACTGGCTTCCGGTGGTCTTCTGGGTGCGCTTCAAGGTATTGGTTCTCATCTTCAAAGCGCTCCATAGCTTAGGGCCCGGTTATTTATGAGACCACCTTCTGCCACCGATAACTTCCCACCGGCCAACACGCTCCCACAGAGAGGGTCTCCTCAGGGTGCCATCGGTCAGGCAATGTCAGCTGGTGACCCCCAGGGGAAGAGCCTTCTCTGTGGGGGCACCCGTCCTCTGGAATGAGCTACCCCCAGGGATACGACTGATCCCGGACCTCCGGACCTTTCGCCGGGCTCTGAAGACTTTTTTATTTCAGAAAGCCGGGCTGGCTTAAAATTTTTAATTGGTTAATTTTATGGGTAAGGGGTTTTAAATTGGGGGAAGCCAATATAGATTTAATTATGTTTTAAAAGTATTTTAATGTTTATATTGTATGTTTTTTAATCCTGGCTGTTCACCGCCCCGAGTCCTTCGGGAGAGGGGCGGTATAGAAATTTAATAAATGAATGAATGAATGAAATGAATGTTCATTAAAATAATTATTTATGTTTATAGCTTTGTTTGTAACTGCTTTACAAAGAAAAATTCAAGAACAAGACAGAGAAAAATAATTAAAAATGTGGATGGTCAATTAAGTTAAAGGGTTTTAATGTAAGATTTGAATATGATGATGTATATTGCTTATAGCAAAACAGAATAGCAGATGAAATGTGAAATGGTAATTTGGTTTAATTTTGAAGACAATTGTAATTAAGAGACAAAGTTGAAATGTTAAAAAGTGGGATGGGGATTTTGAGAAATATATTCTGTAATGGAGAAATAAGATAATTAATTGATGTTATTGTAAGAGATTAGGAATTAAGGGTGGATAGTGATACTGTTTATGTATTGTGTATTAAGAAGAAATTAAGATAAGACAAAAAAGTATGGAAAAAATATTATGGCTGAAATTGGAAACATGTAAAATGGACTTTGGAAAAAAAAAGAACAATATGGCAGAAGTTGAAATAACAAGATATGGTAAAAAATGATTAATTTGTGATCAAGAACTATATGAAAGAGATGATATTGGAAAAAATGGGGAAATTGGAATAGATTAAGATTAATATATATAAAATGTATAAGATAGTCAACACTCTGTTCATAAAATATGTATGATGAAAGAAAAATTTTAATAAAACTTGTTTACAAAAAAAAGAGAGAGAGAAATAATTAAATTACATAAATTTAAAAAACAGCTTCCTGAAATAAATGACTGTCAGTTGTAAAGAATATCTGGACACTGAAGCTAAAAAGGAATTGTACTATCAACCCTTAAAAGAATCCTTGTCTACCTGAAGAAATTTTGTTTCACCTTTTTAAAAACCATGGCAGTGGTGAAATCCAAATTTTTGTACTACTGGTTCTATGGGTGTGGCTTGGTGGGCTTGGTGCTTGGTGGGCATAGCAGGGGAAGGATACTGCAAAATCTCCATTTCCACCCCACTCCAGGGAAAGGATGCTGCAAAATCCCCATTCTCTCTCCACTCCTGGGGAAAGGATATTGCAAAATCTCCATTCCCACTCTGGGGCCAGCCAGAGGTAGTATTTTCTGGTTCTCCAAACTACTAAAAATTTCCACTACCAGCTCTTCTAACTGCTCAAAATTTCTGCTACTGGTTCTCCAGAACCTGTCGGAACCTGCTGGATTTCACCCCTGAACCATGGGCTATATATAGTTTTAAAATCCCCTCCCTTCATTATTTGTTTTCTAAGGTGGAGCTTGAAAAATACACAGAATTAAAACTTTCTTTTTTCTAAACATAGGTGATTTGGATCACCTGACATGATTGAATTGCAACACTGCAGGAATGAAAGACTGATTTATAAAAGACATAACTGACAACTTGAGCATGAATATTAATGAATGCTGGACATATTATAACTCCAAAGTTATAATTAAACCTTTTTCTTGAGAATTTAAGAAAAAGGAAAAATATCTGTTGCTGCATCATATTAATGAAGAAGGAAGATTCAGGGGAATCAACTGCTTCAGGTTAGTCATTATAAAACTATCAGGCATTTCTGTTCCAAATGAGAAACTGTTTTCTGGTAATGTAACAACAATAGCATTGATTTTATGAATATGTCAAAGGCTTTTTTTCAAAGTGGCATTTTGTGGAGTTAGAAAGAAAGCAGAGTTACGATTGCCAGTGTGACAAGAGTACCATCTAGTGTGCTTTTTGTGTCTTGCAGATACTAAAATGCAATGTGTAAATACAATTAAGGGTGGTTAAGGTGAGAGAACTGAGATGAAGTTAAAATCTTGCTTGTTCAAACTACAATGAGCTCAGGGCTGCTGGAATAGTCTTTTAAATTGTCAGAAGTTTAATTAATCAAAATAATGAAAAAGGAGATGGAAGAAGATGGTCAATTTTTTTCTTGGTTTATACAAGTAACTGATTATCCTCCAACTTCCCATATATTTCCTGATTATTGACTTTTGAGCAACAAATAAGCTAGTAATACTATAAATTGGGTGGGCTTTTTTAAATGGAATGAGTAATCTATGTCTGGGAATTTTACACAAAATCATTAATTGATCCTTCAATGCATTACACAAATTTGTTCAATAAAATAAAAGCAACTACAATATTTTTTGCACTATAAGATGAACCTGACCATAAGATGCACCTAGGAAAACAAGAAAAAGTATTCTGAACCAAATGGTGTAGTAATATATTTAATAAAATATAGCAGAATAATATTTCAACCATTTCAATCAACAACAGTATTAAGAACCAGAATTGGGTACCCTTCCTCCCCCTCCCACCCCTCCCCACCTGCCATCCCCAAATTGCATCAATGGCTAAGTGAGGGACAGGAAGCCAGCCCGTGCTCAGCGATGGGGGGAAAAGGGATGACAAGATGACAAGATGCATCTCGCTACATGCACTCCAATGAAAGGCGGTGGCAACCTGGCTGCTTCCCTTGCCTGCCCTTTCCGGTGCTGGAAGCTAAGTGTCATCCCTTCATGCCTCTCTCTCTCTGTATCTCAGGGCTCACCTAGTACCACAGTCCACCAGGAAGGCTGGGAAGGGCGCACTTGCAATGGGGTGGTGGTCGATAGCAGGGCGTCCTTGGCAAACTGCTTGACCAACTTGTGCAGGACAGGCAGATGTATAGTGTGCCCAGGGCAGCCAGTGGTGGGATCAATCAGTTCTCCAAACTGTACATACAAAGTGAACAACCAGTTCAGCTGAACTGGCTGAATCCTACCTCTGTAAATGCTGGAGCCTTTGCAGCTGAGCAGCTGCTTGGCGGTTGGATCAGCCTCCCGGAATACTGCCAAACAGCGGTTCTTGGCAGCAGGGATTGCTGCTGCCTGTCACCATGGCCATACCAACTCTCTCCCCCCAGGTATGGCAAACCCCAGCTGATGCAATATTCACTCTATAAGATGCACAGACAATTCCACCCACATTTTTTGGGGGGGAGTGCATCTTATAGATTGAAAAATACGGTAGTTCTCTTTGCATGACAATCCAATAACTATTTCTTAAAAGAAATAAAATTAGTTATTATTTATTCCACTGGTTCCCTAGAAAGTGAAATAGTACTTCATCTTATGCTGACATTCCCCAAATTCAGACTTTTGTCAAAATTCAGCAATATGAAGTAAAGCTGCCTGCTGGAGCTGACTTATGGTCCATGATGGGCAGTTTTCCCATCCCTGCACAAAATAAATCTCTAGGTCTGAATGATGTCACCAAAAACTTGAACTATAATTCTAGCTGTTTTCAAAATTTCCTACCAAACATAATTTTTGGATATATTATTTATATAGTGTATGGTATTGTTATATTAGCCACACTGCTATTGCAGAGTAGTAGTTTGGCTACCAATTTACCAGCTCTGGTGTGGTACATGCTTGCACGCTTCCCAAGGTGTGCCACAGGAGGGCGAGCTAGCTTCGCACCAGAAAGAAAGATGAGTGGCTCTTCCTGCAGGGTCATCCAAGGCCACATCATTCTACCAGATCCACCTCACAAACAGATGTTGCAACCAGGAAGATTTAGATCTGGCAGGAATCTGACCGCCTGCATGGACCACCAACTTGTCTCCCCAACGAAGTGATACCTATTTAATTATTTGCAAAGAACATTCTTTCGAACTGCTAGGTAGACAGAAGCTGAGGCAAATGACAGGATCTCAACCTGCCGTGCAGTGCTAGGACTCAAATTTCTGGAGCAAAGACCATCTCCAGGATCATATTCAGCCACTGAGCCACAGCACCTGCATATTTTTGGATATGACAGAACATAGAAAATACTGAATACATGATTGGAAGGTAAGCATACTAACAAGTGTATATGGATATGATCAATGTATCAACTTGGTTCATATCCACAAAATGGTGCTAATTTCAATCAATTGACCAATTCCATTTGATAAAAGTTATTGGAATTTTTATTCACTACTCACGCACAGAAGTCTGTACTTGAAGTGAAACAACTGCTGTGCTCAAAAAATCAGAAGTAAGCTTCCATTTCACTGTGCATCTGAGGAGCACATCAATCACTGAACTAAAGTACTCTTTCAAAAATCAGCATAGTTATAACATTTATTATAAAGGCAATAAAATCAATTTTATTTTCTGTTCTAATCCCAATCACAATATTTTGTAGCAGAGTTTCAGTCTGTTCCTCAATTAGCAAGATGTGGCATCACAACAGAACACACACCTACATACGGTGTTGCCCTGAAAATAAGACCCTGTCTTATATTTTTTTTGAACCCCAAAATAAGTATTTGGCCTTATTTTGGGGGATGTCTTATTACTTTGGGGTGCGTGGAGCAAGATGGAGCTCCTCTTGCCGTCTTACCTGATTTCCAGCTCTGTCTCCCTAACTCTAACCAGAGGAAATGGCGGGGACCAGCTGTACATGCTTAAATGTTTAAATATTTTCGGGGAGGGCTTATTTTAGCACATTTGTTCAAAAGCCCGATTGGGCTTATTATCAGGGGATGTCTTATTTTAGGGCAAACAAGGTACATTTATTTTTTCCAAGAAAACAGAATAATGCTTAACATTGTCCTGGAACTTTTAAATTATTAGAACATAAAGATACATTTTAGAGTTGTCCTTCTGTTGAGATAATAGAATATATATTAAATTATTATGCATTAACCCTGTGCTTTGCCTTTAAATAAAAAGGGGGCACAATATTTTTAAATATTTGGTAATAAGCAGATAGGATTTAAAATGTATTCCTATGAAAAACAGAATTCCTTAGAAGGATAGGGATAGCTACATATTTTTAAGACTTCAGGAAAAAATGCAGCCAATACCTGTTTCAAATTTTATCTTTTGCTTTCCTTGTTATTATGATAGACTCTGCATTTCCATTCTTATTCAATAACTTTTAAACTATCCCAGACTATCATAAATTATTTATGCATTACTGATGTACTCTCGGTAATGATAAATTGTCTCTCTTTTATTTTTAGGGACTGGATGTTATAAAAACAATTCAACTGGAGGATAGGTTTGCCATAGAAGTAAATTGGTGGATTGCTATTAAGGACAATTTTGAAAATCTTTCCTTGAACTTACTGAAATGCATTGTACATTTTGATTGCATCCAAATGATTCTCGCAGGGCATTGATTGACGTAATAATAGAAACCTTGCTTGATATTCTTTAATGGAAGATGTGTATACAGGTTGGACTGTAGTTTGCTGCTATTGAATTTCTTCTATTCTGGTGATACAGTATTAATTCTTATTCCTGCTTGAATTTCCACAATGAAGAAACCTGTCCTTGACTCAGTTACTCTGCTATGGTCAATAAGGTTGAAAAGAGGCCGCAGAATATGAACAGACGGGACGATGCCTCTAGGTTATCAAGTATTTGGGGACCTGCACTGAGAGAAACTCGAGTGTTAACATCAGAAGAGAGGCAGAGATTCCAACAAGCAACCAGTGGTGTTGTAAGGCCTACCAGAATTCTTCCTTCTTTGCAGAGGGTGGCTAGCAATAGGGAGAGAGAGAGGATCGAGCCAGAAGACAGGCTGAGATCCCAACTAACAATCAAGGGTGCTGTGATGCCTACCAGAATCCTTTCCTCTCTACAGCAGACAGATAATAATAGAGAACCTGAGAAGGTTGGGCCTGTGACACGTAGCCAAACAGCCAGGATGAGGAAGCAGGAAGAAAAACTGCTGTCCTCCAATCACAACACAGAGTTACAGGCTAACCAGCATACGTCAGCAGCAGCAAACATAGAAAAGCGACAGCTCCGACCTCGCAACACACCCACAGCTTCTAAACTAGATAAGAGCCTGAAGATGACAGGGTTGTGAGCCAGTCGAAACGTTGCTATAAAGAAAAAGTTTTAAGGTACTGGTAGGATTTTAGCTAAGGTTTTAAAGGACCTTGCACAGTGCTCTGTAAGGACTTTTAGAAGATTTTAAGCTGGGATTTTAACCAGAATTTTAAACTTTTTAAGTAACTTATTTAACATGACACGGGAAAACACCTGAGATTTTAATTTTTTGCATTCACACACCCGCGAAAACTTAAGAAGACATACAGATATATATATCTTTTTTCCTTTTTCGTAGGCTTTTATGTGCATATTCTTTCTAGCCAGGTTTTACCTACGTAAACTTAGTTGTTCTACAGCCCTAGGTTCTGTGAAATCTCATTCACAAGTTTCTGGGCCTTTTTTCTGCTGACAAACTGCAACTCTCCCAGAGAGCAACACAGAGTTGCAGTTTGTCAGCAGAGAAAAGGCCCAGAAACTTGTGAATGAGGTTTTCACGGGTATTTGTATGTAGGTCTTTGGTTATTCAGGTTTTCTCACGAACGCGGAGCCAAACAGCAGTTACGCAGGTCACGAGTTCAAATCCCCCTCAACTCAGACCAAACTGAGCACAGCCAAGTCCCCACCCTATCAGAACACACCCCCATCCAATCAGAGCCCAGCCAACCCCCCATCCAATCAGAGCACAGCCAAGCCCCCAACCAATCAGAACACACCTCTACCCAATCAGAACACAGCCAAGTTCCCACCCAATCAGTTCACACCCCCACTGGCAGTTAAAAGGAAGAAACAGCTGCGATCACACATTGCTCCTAGAAGCACGAAGCTGAAGATGACAAATGAGACTTCGTCGAAAGGTCGCCAAGACACTTCCAATTTTATGCAGGAGAAAACCCGAATAACCAAAGACCTACATACAAACACCCGCGAAAACCTCAGAAAACAAATATACACACACACACACACACACACACACACATATATACATACATACATACATACATATATATATATATATATATATATATATATATATATATATATATATAACAGTTAATATCTCGGGTTTCTTCCCATGTAATTGTAAACATATCCTTAAAAGGGTAGTAGCGACGTTTCAACGAAATCGCATTCATCATCTCCTGGCTGAAGTTCTCGGTTTGGTGCTTATGGGCAAACTGTGTGATCGTAACTGACGTTTTTCTATGAAAAGAGGCAAAGGTGTATTCTGATTGGTCGACAGTGTTGTTGTATTCTGAGAAACCCTAAAGACAAAATAGAATTAGAAGATCAAGGTATATACGAAATCCCATGTGCTTCCTGCCCTTCAACATATATTGGACAGACCAACAGAAGAATGAGTGTGCGCATCGAGGAACATAAAAATTCAGTACAGAAGAAAGAACACACATCATCATTAGTACAACACATAAATGCCACAGAACATAATATTAATTTTAATAACACAAAAACAGTTGCAAAAATAGAACATCTCAATGGCAGAATAATCAGAGAGGTCATTGAAATAGAGAAAAGACCATATTGTATGAATAAACGTGATGACACTTCCCGTCTGCCTACTATTTGGAAACCTGCTCTCATAGACAGACGAATCTTAACACAAAATATAAACCATAGATCAAAGATTCATCATAATGCCTGTGTTGCCACCATTTCCAGCATAACTTATCCATTAACCCACAACCAAGCAACAGCGCTTCCACCCAATCAAAATACAGCTATGTCATCAGCCAATCAGAATACAACAACACTGTCGATCAATCAGAATACACCTTTGCCTCTTTTCATAGAAAAACATCAGTTACAATCACACAGTTTGCCCATAAGCACCAAACCAAGAACTTCAGTCAGAAGATGACGAATGCGATTTCGTCGAAACGTCGCTACTACCCTTTTAAGGATATGTTTACAATTACACGGGAAGAAACCTGAGATATTAACTATATATATATATATATATATATATATATATATATATATATATATATATATATATATATACACACACACACACATATACATATACACACACACACACACACAGATACACACATATATATAGCATCATAACTGTTGACCCATCATGCCCTCTCTCTTTTGCATATAAGTGATCATCAATATCTTTTTTCTTTGAATGATTTCCTTCACTGACAAATAGCTCTGGTTTGTTGTAAAAAATGAGATTTGAATGTTGACTTCCAGTTATTTGTTTTTACTTGCAAGTGCAAAAGTTTTGCTTCAGGACATAAATACAGTATAATTTCTGGAAGCACTTTTATTATGTAATACATTTTAAAACAGAAGTGTTGGCAGTATGCAAATTATCATTTTAAATTGATTGCTGCTTTTTGCTTTCATTAAATAGTAATTCACCTCTTTGAGCTTATAATGCTCTATGCTCTATTTTAAACTGTTACTGATAGAGTTGTAATAGTTTAGAAAAGAGTAAAACTTGTATTTTGGAGAATTGAAAGTACTTCAATGATAGATCAGGACAAACAAATTAATCAGCAACAGGTCAAAGGAACATTTGTTTGCAAGGCTTGGTTGCTCTAATGTCAAGTGTGGCTAAGAATATAAGTTACCTTTAACAACCAAGGAACACTTAACAAGAAGTCTTCATTAATGAGCTGTAAAGATAACGTCTTGTGATAACTTATGGTCTGAATACAAAGTAATGCATGAATTTTGAATAAATCTAAATCGGAATATTTTTCTTCCAAGTGCACTTATACACTCACTCATACTTATCCCTAAAATGAAGCCATTCGTTTAGGTTATTAAGAAAGTGGATTGAATGTTAAATTTGATTATGTGCTATCAAGTCAGTGTCAACTTTTAGCAATCACAGACATAGATTTTCTCCAAGACAATCTGTCCTCAACCTGTTCCTTCAGATCTTCCAATGGTTCATCCATAATTGTGTTCATCTATCTTGCTGTTGAAGAATATAGCTTAATATAATTTGATGATGTAATACAGTGGCCCCCCAATCTTTGGGGCACCAGGGACTATTTCCATGGAGACAGGGTTTCGCTTGTTTGCATGGCCCAATTTCTGGCATGCATGACTCGATGCTGGTCCACATACTGGGGGTTGGGGACCCTCATGTAATACACAAATCTGTGATATGATATCTGAAAATATAGATATATTTACTGCTTCCTGCAAAGACCCAAAACTGTGTTCTGAAATCTTTCATGAAAATATTTTTTTGTCCTATTGCCCCACCCAAATCTATATTTTCCACAAAACCTCTAGAAGGCATACCTTTTCCTCCATTGACTTATTTATTAAATATAATTTTAAAAAAGGGATAGCAGACTACATTGACTAGTTTCCCTGAAAATAAAACCCAATCAGAAAATCAGCCCTAGCATGAATTTTCATGATGCTTGTAATACAAGCCCTATCCCCAAAATAAGCCCCAGTTAAGATTGTCAGCCAGACAGACACATTTAGTACTGTATTTCCCTGAAAATAAGCCCTAATGTGTCTTTTGGAACAAAAATTAATATAAGATCCTGTCTTATATTCTGGCAATCATGGGTAGTTATGGCAATGCTTACTTGTGAAATGAAAATGAAAAGTATCTAATCAAGGAATCACTACAAAAAATAGCTAATCAAGCAGGTACTGCCAAAAAAAAAAAAAAAAAAACCCCTGGTAAAAAATCTGGGGCAGCATCATTTGAAGATACATAAATATAATCCCATCCAGGCTGGATTGACCAAGGTATTGATTGTTACATCCCTGGTACTTTTTCTTAGAATTTAATTGAGAGATGTAAAGTTATTACCTTTCATCTTTATAAAAAAGAGAATTCTTATATTTGTACATTTTTGCACTGGGCAATAATTTTAATAAAAATTGTTACATGAAACTGTCTGCATTCCAGTTATAAGCATGAAAGCCAGTTTGGTCTAGTGGTTAGGACACCAGCTAGAAAGTGAGAGATTGTGAGTTTTAGTCCCATTTTAGCCATGAAAGCCAGCTGAATTATCTTAGGCCAATCATTGTCTCTCGGCTCACCTCACAGGATTGTTGTTATTGGGGAAAATAAGAGGAGAAAGATGTATTAGATATGTTTGCCACCTTGAGTTATTTGCAAAAATAATGAAGGCATGATACAAATGTAATAAGTAAGTAAATAAGTAAATAGACTGCCAAATTCTGTTCAAGAAAATATTCTGTTGCCCTAGGAACTAA